GTGATGGTATGAACAAAGACGCTGGTGATGATAGTGTATCAGTAGGAGCTGGTAAAGTTTGATACTTTTTGTCTCTAACTCTGAAAGTTTCTACTTTTGGGATGTTTGAGAGAAATGTTTATATGCAGGGATAGTGGCTGGACAAGATAACGCAGGAGCTTATTACTCACAGACAATGGAAGCTAGTTTTGCTTCTAAGCATGAGGAATCATCAGTAGCTGTCGAAAATGGTTGTGATTTTAGTGGTAGAAGAGACCCTTCTTCTTCTTCTTCGAGCAATTCAATTGAGTCTTTGAGGACCATTTTGTCTGATCCTACAACGTATGTTCTATTTTGTTTCCGCTTTGTGGTTTTAAAGCCGGTATTGAGCTCATATGATTCAGTTTCTAGCTCTTTCGATTCGGTAGCTCTTGAAAATCTCCAATAATTGAAGAGAAGATGTAGCACTTTCTGAAACTTCGTTTAGTGAACTTATTCATGTATATGGTTCAGGAATTACAAACATAAGAACGCTTAAGAAGTGAAAAGGATTAGTATCTTCTCTTGCAATTGGTTATCTTGTTTGTGAGAGTTGGATTAGTTTCGATAGTGCTTGTGGTTAATCTTAACTCTGTTTTTGTCTCTTTGCAAAATCGTAGTGGGGTTTTGATGGCTGATGCTATGATTTTGCCTTGTGGACACACTTTTGGAGCTGGAGGGATAGAACAAGTTAAACAGATGGTACAGAGTTTTGCTTCTTCCATCAGAATCTTTTCTTTTGCTCTCTGCTATATTCTTTTGCTTATTAAATATATTTTCTGTTGCGTTATCTTAGAAAGCTTGCTGCACATGTTCGCAGCCAGTTTCAGAAGATTCGATAACTCCAAATCTGAGTGAGTAAATCATTTTTGTTCCTGATTTGGCATTTGGTTGTCTCTGAGAATTCCTTTTCATTATTTTCATTGGAATTTACGCAGCTCTACGAGTTGCAGTACAAGCATTCTGCCGAGAGGAGAAGTCACAGTCGAACCATTCATCTAAGAGAAAACGAGAAGGATTTGATCAAGTAACTGAATAATATTAACCATATTGATCTCATGTTTAATTTTGTTCCAACAGGAGACTTTATTTTCATAAATGCAGGAGAGACGCCCATTTGGTGACTCGATTCAGACAGGTCGTTCAAGGAACAAAAGTAATCATTTCCCATTTGCTGTGGCAGACCGAGTGATAATAAAGGTCAATCCTTTCTTTTTTTTTCTTTTTTTCTAGCAAATGTATTTTCTTATAATGAAAGATTGCGGGAGATGTTAACCGTTGGAGTAAAACATGAATCAGGGAAACAAGAGGACACCGCCTCGTTTTGTTGGACGAGAAGCTGTTGTGACTACTCAATGCTTAAACGGCTGGTAAGTCTCATTTCTTTCTTCCGTTATGACTTCATGATATGGGTCACAAAAGATTAGAGTTCTTTCTTGTTGCAAACTTTCTTATATTACGATGAAGACATTCACCTTTACAAACCCTTGAGCAGAAACTTTTACAACTTTTGTATAATGTTTCCGTGAATCAGAGCTCATTTTGCTGCACAAAACTCTGTTGCAGGTATGTTGTAAAGACGCTGGACAACGCAGAGAGTGTCAAGCTTCAGTATCGTTCATTGGCTAAAGCTCCAGAAGATTCATCAGCCAAGGCAACACCAAACAAGATGGTCTCTAACTGGCTCTAAGCAAACCTTCCTTGTTTACCCGCATGAAAAGACCACTTTCTTCTCCTAGATTCTCTATGTAAGATCCAGAAAACTTATCTACAGCTCACAGATCAGTGTTACATATTGTAAATTGTTGTAGTTACTACATGTCAGATGTTTGACAGTTTGAGGAAATTAGGTTTAGGGCTAGATCCAGGCTACTAATAACTGGAACATATTCGGATCATGATACAATACATAGTTATATTGCTCTCAATATTCAAACAAGAGATGTTTAAATTATAACTTTCAGGTGTTAACTAATTCAGCATATAGAGGTTCTTGTTGTAATTTGATGAATTTATAAATTCCGCATATAAAAATCCTTCTTTTTTTTTTCTTTTTTTGATGTCCTTATTTTGATGTCATCAAATTACAATGTTTATACCAAAAGGATTTTTGTCGGAAAATTTGGGAACGATACTGCGTGAGAAAACATGTTCGATTGCATTGGCTTTACTTCACCTATTTAAAAGGCCATTATGATTGTAGGGAAGAAGTGAAAAGACGAGTGAGAATTCTCAGAGTTCAGTAAATTTTCTCAAAGTATCTTCTTCGTTTTTCTTTCGCTCTCTTTCCCTCTCGTAGTAGTTTTTGACACTCTCGATTTACTATTAACATGTTCTAGAGACTATACAACTATTTACTCTATAAATAATGTGCAATTTTTGCTTAAAATGTGATGTTCATAGTTGACGACACTTTTTCGTTGTAAATTAGCTAAGTAGAAATAAACATATAGAAGCCATATGCTCTAGTTGTTTATAGAAGTTAATTGTTTATGGAAACATATAGAAGTCATATGTTTATAGAAGTTAATTGTTTTTACTTACCAAAACTATCTCTAATTTTTCGGATGTAGTCAACTGTTTAATAACTTGTTCAATGATCAAAACAAAGTTAACTATTTCGTGAAAACAACAAGCTTATATAGGTTTTATATATCAAATAGACAGTGAACTATATTTACCTGCAACTTAAACAAAATATTACCTATGGTAATCATATATACAGTTATCTTGGAGTATAGTAAACTGTCAGTAATTTTTATCCATTATGCTTTTTCTCCATCTCTTAGATTGTATGAGGCAAATTTTATGTTTTCTCGAATTGTGGGTTTGTTCACTTTTGTCTAAATTACTTACTTTTTTTTGCGATAAAAAAGT